AAACATGAAGGGTGCTTGTGAACCCCACATACCATGAAAGGGTGCTGTGCCCCCACATACCCTGAAGGGTGCTGGTGGCCCCACATACCATGAAGGGTGCTGGTGGCCCCACATACCATGAAGGTGCTGGGACCCCACATACCATGAAGGGTTTCTGGTGACCCCACATACCATGAAGGGTGCTTGTGACCCCACATACCATGAAGGGTGCTGGGGACCCCACATACCATGAAGGGTGCTGGTGGCCCCACATACCATGAAGGGTGCTGGTGACCCCACATACCATGAAGGGTGCTGGTGACCCCACATACCATGAAGGGTGCTGGTGACCCCACATACCATGAAGGGTGCTGGTGACCCCACATACCATGAAGGGTGCTGGTGACCCCACATACCATAAGGGTGCTGGTACCCTACATACCATAAGGGTGCTGGTGACCCCACATACATGAAGGGTGCTGGTGACCCCCCATACCATGAAGGGTGCTGGTGACCCCACATACCATGAAGGGTGCTGGTGACCCCACATACCATGGTGTTGGGGACCCCACATACCATGAAGGGTGCTGGGGACCCCACATAAACCCTAAGGGTGCTGGTGACCCCACATACCATGAAGGGTGCTGGGACACCCCATCAACCATGAAGGGTGCTGGTGACCCCACATACCATGAAGGATTGCTGGTGAACCCCACATACCATGAAGGGTTTCTGGGACCTTACATACCACGAAGGGTGCTGGGGACCCTACATACCATGAAGGTGCTGGGTACCCCACATACCATGAAGGGTGCTGGGTGACCCCACATACCATGAAGGTGCTGGTGACCCCACATAACCATGAAGGGGGCTGTGACACCCCATACCATGAAGGGTGCTGGGGACCCTAAAATACCATGAAGGGGGCTGGTGACCAACACATCCAAGAAGGGTCTGGTGACCCCCCCCATACCATGAAGGTGCTGGTGACCTTACATACCATGAAGGGCTGGGGACCCTACATACCATGAAGGTGCTGGTGACCCCCCATACCAGAAGGGTGCTGGTGGCCCCACAAACCATGAAGGTGCTGGGAACCCCACATACCATGAAGGTGCTGGTGACCCCACATACCATGAAGGGGCTGGTGACCTCAACATACCATGAAGGGTGCTGGTGACCCCACATACCGTGAAGGGTGCTGGTAAACCCCACATACCATGAAGGGTGCTGGGGGCCCCCACATACCAGAAGGGTGCGGTGGCCCCACATACCATGAAGGGTGCTGGTGACCCCACATACCATGAAGGGTGCTGGTGGCCCCACATACCATGAAGGGTGCTGGTGGCCCCACATACCATGAAGGGTGCTAGTGAACCCCACATACCATGAAGGGTTGCTGGTGACCCCACATACCATGAAGGGGGCTTGTGACCCCACAACAATGAAGGGTGCTGGTGACCCCACATACCATGAAGGGTGCTGGTGACCCCACATACCATGAAGGGTGCTGGTGACCCCACATACCATGAAGGGTGCTGGTGACCCCACATACCATGAAGGGTGCTGGTGACCCCACATACCATGAAGGGTGCTGGTGGCCCCACATACCATGAAGGGTTCTGGTGACCCCACATACCCTGAAGGGTGCTGGTGACCCCACATACCCTGAAGGGTGCTGTGACCCCACATACCATGAAGGGTGCTGGTGACCCCACATACCATGAAGGGTGCTGGTGATCCCACATACCATGAAGGGTGCTGGTGACCCCCACATACCATGAAGGGTGCTGGTGACCCCCACATACCATGAAGTGCTGGTTACCCCCACATACCATGAAGGGTGCTGGTGACCCCAAAATACCAGAAGGGGGCTGGTGGCCCACATACCATGGTGCTCTGGTGACCCCACATAACCAAAGAAGGGTGCTGGGGACCCCACATACCATGAAGGGTGCTGGTGACCCCCACATACCATGAAGGGTGCTGGTGACCCCACATACCATGAAGGGTGCTGGTGACCCCACATACCATGAAGGGTGCTGGTGACCCCACATACCATGAAGGGTGCTGGTGACCCCACATACCATGAAGGGTGCTGGTGACCCCACATACCATGGTGCTGGTGACCCCACATACCATGAAGGGTGCTGGTGACCCCACATACCATGAAGGGTGCTGGTGACCCCACATACCATGAAGGGTGCTGGTGACCCCACATACCATGAAGGGTGCTGGTGACCCCACATACCATGAAGGGTGCTGGTGACCCCACAAACCATAAGTGTCTAACCCCACATACCCTGAAGGTTGCTGGTGACCCCAAATACCATGAAGGGTGCTGGTGACCCCACAAAACCATGAAGGCTGGTGACCCCACATACCATGAAGGGTGCTGGTGGCCCCACATACCATGAAGGGTGCTGGTGACCCCACATACCATGAAGGGTGCTGGTGACCCCACATACAAAGAATGTTGAGAGGGAGAGTTGGCATCTCACTGACCATATTCCTCACTCATCATTTATCTAAGTACGTCTGTCTCTCTTCCTTATATTTTCACCTCTTGTTTGGTTTATACATGTTTTATAAGGCATAAGATACAGGAATATCTGTTATTTTATTTATCGTTTTCATCAACATAACAGACAAAATTTCTATAAAAAATACTGAAAAATATAAATAATGACTGATAAAAATAAATACTAATTAGTATTAACTAAACATTGAATTATTAACTAAACCAAAAAACCAAAACCACTAAACCATAAACATCTTTCAACATACTGATAAACCTAGAAAATTTGGTCTTGTTATAGACTTAACAGTAGAATAACTTAAGAAATCTATTGCGAGTAAAAATAAAAATTAGAATTGAAAGCTGCAAGTTATTATTATTTTCACCCGGATGCGCTAAGCCCGTAGGGGCCATACAGCGGTGGCTGTGAAATGAAGATTTATCATATTGGATGCAAGGAAGAGGAGGGTAGCTTAAATTCATTGGATCAAGAGCACATCATCAATACTACAACAACTACTGCTACTACTTCTGCTGCTACTGCTACTACTAGAAGTACTACTACTACTACTAATAATAATAGTATTACTACTAGAAAAATAAAAATTTTATTAATAACAGTTTATTAAAAAAATGTTTCATTCACTACTGAGAACCTGACGAGAAGAACAGTAGTTGTTCTAGTTGAACCTTGAACCTTCATGCCTCTAAAGTCCAGTCATTTACTGTTGCAGACAGTGACTACACATATAAAATGCAAATTCGACCATGAGAGCCAAAAGTATGGGCGTGTGGGCGTACTGCGCGGCGTAGTAGATGGGTAAATTGTTTTTGGAGTCGAGAGTATTGACAGGAATATCATGAGTGAGTAGAATGTTCACTAAGTGAGCGTGGCCCCACTTGCAAGCATAAGCTAGTGCGGTGCGGCCTTGTGTGTCGCGGGAAGCCGCTGTTGCTCCGTAATGTATCAGCAGTCGTAGCAGCCGCTCGTTGCCGCAGGCGGCAGCGAGCATAAGAGGTGTGACTCCATGTTCTCCTCTCAAGCCCGGGTTTGCCCCTAGCCGCAGCAGTCTCTCGGCTATAGTTAGCGTCATGTCAGACCTACAGCGAAAGTAGTGCAGGAGTTCGGCGATGAGAGTTGGGGTGTTGAGGGCGGTGAATATGTCGTGGGTGTTGTAGTAGTCCCAGGGCAACACAGCATCGTGCAATACGGACACGCCCTTGTCATTTATTGCGAGGGCGTTGGCGCCCGTGTCTAGCAACAGGTTCGTAACAGCATAGCTCTTGCAACGTACCGCCGTCTGTAGAGGGGTGTTGCCCTGACCGTTCCTAGCTTCTAGGTGGGCACCGTACTCTAGAAGTAAGTAAGCTAACTCTGGTCGGTCACTCATAGCCTGGTGGTGCAGCGGGGTGTTGCCGTCTTTTTGCTGCCAACGTCGGCTCAGAGTGGTGCTGCAACAACCTTGTCATAACCTCCGTTGATACAGCGCTCATTAGAGCAGTGCAGCCAGTCCTGCTCTGTATGTTGACACTCGCTTTGCCAGCCAGGAGTTCTGCGATCACTCCTTCATCGTCAGCATCAGCAGCCTTCATGAGAGCCGTTTCGCCCTTCTCATCTGTCTGGTCTGGGTCTGCCCCAGCGGCCAAAAGCGACTTCACTGTCTCTCTCTCTCGGATGAGAGAGGCGGCCATGAGAGGAGTGTAACCTCTGGGGTTTCTAAAATTCACTAGAGCGCCGTGTTTAAGGAGCATTTTAACGCAAGCTAGGGACATCTGCATGCCTATTCCGTTGCTGCGTCCCGCGGCCCACATGAGAGCAGTGTTTCCGTCGCAGGAGTAGTGTTGGGATCGCTCCGCGCTGCAACAGGAGGCGCAGACTTTCAACTTACGGTAGTGGACGGCGGCCAGCAAGGGCGTCTCCCCATCAGGACCGCATACGTTGACATCTGCTCCTTATCCAGCGCAAGACCTACAAGGTCACTGCTTCCAGCAATGAC